GTCAGTTGTAATTTCTCATTTTTCATTTCTGATTTTTGTTGATTTGGGCCCTCTCTTTTTCTTGATGAGTCTTGCTAAAGGTTTACCAATTTTGTGTATCTTTTCAAAGAACTGCTTCTAAGTTTGACTAATCTTTTCTATTTTCTAGTCTCTGACTTATTCCCACTCTGATCTTTACAATTTCTTTCCTTCTACTAACTTTTGATTTTGTTGTTTCTTCTTTTCTTGTCCTTTAAGTGTATGGTTAAGTTGTTTATTTGAGATTTTTCTTGTTGTTTAAGGTAGGCTTTTATCCTTGTAAACTTCCCTTTTAGAATGGCTATTGCTGTGACCCATAGATTTTTGGAGCAATATGTTTTCATATTCATTTATCTCCAGGTATGGTTTTTATTTCTTCTTTGATTTATTTTGTGTCCTATTCATTTTTTAGTAACATAATGTTTAGCTCCACTGTGTTTGTATTTTTTGCCATTTTTTTTTCTTGTAGTTGATTTCTAGCCTGCTAGCATTGTGGTTAGAAAAGATGCTTGATATGATTTTAATCTTAAATTTAATGAGACTTGTTTTATGACCTGTCATGTGATCTGTCCTGGAGAATGTTCCACCTGCCCTTGAAAAGACTGTATATAATGCTTTGGATGACATGTATTGTATATATGTTAAGTTAATTCGGTTCAACATGTCCTTTCAGGCTAGTGTTTGCTGGTTGATTTTCTGTCTGTATGATATGTTCATTGATGTGAAGAGGGTGTTAAAGTCCCCTACTATTATTGTGTTACTGTCAGTATCTTCCTTTATGGCTGTTAATATTTACTTTATTTATTTAGGTGGTCTTATTTGGGTGTATATGTATTTACATTTGTTATATCTTCTTCTTGGATTAATCTATTTATCATAATGTAATGCCCTTCTGTTTCTCTTATTATAGTCTTTGTTTTAAAGTCTGTTTTATCTGATATAGATATAGTTACCCCAGCTTTCTTTTCATTTTCATTTGCGTAGGAGACTTTCTATCCCCTCACTTTTAATCTGTGTGTCTTTGGATCTGGAGTCTCTTATAGACAACATATATATGGGTCTTGTTTTTGTACCTGTTCAGTCACTGTTTGTCTTTTGATTGTAGCATTTAGTTCATTTATATTTAAAGTAATTATTGATAGGTAAGTACTCATTGCCATTTTGTCAATTGTTTGGGGTTGTTTTGTAGTTCTTTATTTTCTCTTCTTTTAATTTATTCACTTGTGATTTGATGACTATCTTTTGTGTTAGGTTTGGATTCCTTTCACTTTTGTGTCTGTGTCTATTACAGATTTTTGATTTGTGGATACCATGAGCTTTATATGTAGCAGTCTGTATTATATGTGATTATTTTAAGTTGCTGATCCTTTACATTTGAACACATTGTAAAAACTCTGCCTGTTTAATCCCCCTACCATGTTTAATATTTTTACACCCTATTTTATATTTTTTGTTGATGTAGCCACTTATGAATAAAGATAACTTACTACCTTTTTTTTTTACCTCCTACTAGCTTTATAAGTGATTGATCTACTAAACTTACTATATGTTTGCCTTGATCAATGAGATTTTTCCTTTTGTTTTTCATAATTCTAGTTGTGGCCATTTCTTTTCCACTTATTGAAGTCCCTTTAACATTTCTTGTAAAGCTAGTTTCATGGTGCTCAACTCTTACCTTTTAGCTCATACTTATTTGTAAAACATTTGATCTCCTTCAAATCTGAATGAAAGCCTTGCTGAGTATTGTTGGCTGTAGGTTCTTCCCTGTTATGACTTCAAGTATATCATGACAGTCCCTTCTGGTCTTTAGAGTTTCAGGTGATAATTTAGCTGATAGCTTTCTAGGGGTTCCCTTGTATATAACTAGTTGCCTTTCCTTTGCTGCTTTTTAAAGATTCTCTCTTTACCTTTAATTTTTACCATCTCGATTATAATATGTCTTGGCATGGACCTCTTTTTGTTCATCTTGTTTGAGATTCTCTGTCCTTCATGGCCCTGTTTCCTTTCCCAGTTTTGGGACATTTTCAGCTATTTTATCTTCAGATATGTGCTCTACCCCTTTCTCTCTTATTTCTCCTTCTGGGACCCTTACATTGAGAATGTTAGTATGCTTGATATTTCCCAGAGGTCTTTTAAACTATTCTCATTTTTTTTTCTGTTTTCTTTTTTTGCTCAGTTTTCATGATTTCCGCTACTCTTTCAGGTCTCTGATGAGTTTCTTTCCATCATCTAATCTACTTTCAGTTTCTAGAAGTTCCTGGCCCTCATTCTGTTTGGTTGCCTGGTCCTGCATGTGTGGAAGATGCATACTGCTGGTGAGCAGGGATGGACCATGGCATGGCTGGCTGCATGGCCGGGGGAATCCTGGTCCCCAAACAATACTCCATCATCAAATAGAAGTTGTAAATATGACAGTGAGTTCCCATTGGCCCTAAAGCCTCCAGTAAGTTTCATGAGTCCATGGCTGCCCTAGGAAATTACCACAAATTGAGCGGCCTAAAACAATACACTTTTGTTAACTCTCAGTTTTGTTGATCAAAAGTGAGACATGCTTGCCTGGATACTCTGGTTAGGATCTCATAAGTATGAAATCAAGGTATTGACTGGCCTGACCTTTACCTGGGGCTCTGAATGAGAATCCACTTACACGTTCACTTATGATGTTGGCAGAATCCAGTTCCTTCTGGTTGTAGAAATGGATGTTGGTTTGTTAGTTCTTCACTGCCAGGTGGCTCTCTGATGCCTTCATTTAGATTTTAAATGTTCCCCTTAGCTGGAGTGAGATTGAGCAGAAGTTTTGATGGAGTAACTGTCACTTCTGATTTTTTCTCTGTATGTGTTGGGAGATTAGACTTGTCTTCCTCATTATTCCTTGCAAGGTAAATGTACTCAGGGCCTTATCACAAAATGTGTTTTTTCCCTCAGAGTTACTGTCAGCTGACAGTTGGTTTTGCTGATATAAAGCATTGTACTGTGTACGATATGCATTAGAAGAAGATGTAAGAAAGCTGAACCTTGCTGCTAGGGGAAAGCGGGGAAGGGGTCCTAGAAAATTTATTTAAATATTAGTGCAGAGTGTGTGCATTTAGACTAGAAGTTTGCATTGATTAGGCTTCCCCAAGAACATTGTCTCTGATGAATGAGAAGGACTTCAAAAGTGCAGCATGATTATTCTGCTAGAGGGATGTACAGCAGTGGCCTAGAGTATAGAAATAATGACTTGAAAATGCTGTGTCAGAAGAAGCCTCAATCGGGCAAACTAGAGTGAGCCTACTGCATGGTCTTCAGTAACTGTATATTCCCGATTTAAAGAGATGATGACCAAGGAAGACTTCCTTTCTCAATTTCCACCGATGTATGTAGGCAATCACCCAAGCAAACTCCTTTCAGTCTTCTCCCTCCCTTGTGTTAACTCACTACTACCACCTAGAGTGAGTACCAGTGAATGGGACAGGAAAAGGTAGAAGAGGAGGAGAGAAAGAAAGAAAAGATATCTCAGTTCTTCCTTTGTTTGCAGTACACAACAGGTGGGTGGGAACTTCACCTGAGTTTGGTGAGAGAATTTGGAGCTGAACTAATATTTACATGTGAGTGAATGTACGAAAGAGGTTTATTATGTTGATAAGGAGTTAAAACAAAATCTCTGTGGCCAGAGAAATGATCTTGAAAGGTCTAGCTTGCCCCAGACTTGACATATGCCGTTTCTTTTTGCTGATTTGTTTTGCGTCCTTTTGCTATAATAAATCATACTTGTTGGTATGACTGAAAAATAATAACTTTTAAAAATAAAAAAGAGTCACCATTAAATGTCAGAACTTAACTTTTCTTTCTCATTTAGAAGTTAAAGTCAGTATCTCTACTTGATTAAGCCATTTGATTCTTTGGATTTAGACTGCTGTTAAATCCCTTTTGCAGGTTTTTTTTTTTTCTCAACCTCTGTTTCATTGTTTTGATCATACCTGTGCTTATGTTTAAACATTCTATTCTTGATATGTGGATATGAGTCCTTCCTTTATCTCTCTAAAGATTTTGAATATATTTATTTTGTGGGTCTTTTCTGAATGTTCTATTAATTATATTTTTGTGTGCAATTTATTCTATTTACTTTATTGGGGGTAATTTGTTAAAATTACTTACACATTTTCTGATTCCTGATCATGAGCTCATCTTTTGTAAAAGAATACCCTTCCCAGTGTTTCCATGTGGGATCACTCTTGCTAGGATGGCTGCTTGCATGTTTCTCTCTGTGTGTCTTCTAGCCCCTGATCAGAGAGAATTTTTCTATCTTATTTTTAATGCGGTTGTATGCTCACTAATCTGTATTTTATATCATTAAAATATAATTTCTCCAGATCTTACAGGGAGAAGAAGTAATTTCTGTTATCTTGAAATGAAGAGTCTAAATTCCTTGACATACATTACGCAGACTAAGTATAACACTGTTTAGCTTAGCAAATCAATCTGTTAGCCGTTTTCTCTCGTAAAGTACTTTAAGAACAGAAAAGGCCAGAGATGTTTTTAAAGAGCCCAAATCTCTTACATAGAATAGAGAGATTACTATGGTGTCTTTAAATTATGTAAGAAAACATCCATTTATATGGACAAGGAACCTGCCAAAATGGAAAGTATTAGCTTTATGAAGGCTGTGAACTTATGGATGACTATTTCTCTTTTGGCACTCCAGAATTTCTATATTATATTGTTTTTGAAAGAGTACATAATTTTCCAGTATGTATTCCAAATAACTTAAAACCATGCAACTTGTACAGAACTCCATTAAAGTACCCAGTTACCTAGAGGACAAAGTTAAAACCTCTCAACTAAATATCCCCAAAGGTCTTCACACTTCTGTTCTCAAATTGCTTCTCATCTTGTCCCCCTCTGTTTTCTTATGCCTCCTCTAGTCCAGTCTTGTCCTCTATCCTTGACACAGACAATACTAGTTTCTACTATATTTTAAGGATTGAAACACATTTTTCCAGGGTTGTTTTTCTAGGTACAGGAGTCTGGTTCTTCTGGTCCCTTGTCTTGCTGAGTTTATTTGGAATCCTGGCTGCCTACACGTCCTTGTTGTTGGTGAGTAGTATTTCCACATCTCCCTCACCCTTCCTGAGTAGCCTCATGAGGAGTTCCTATCTCTGATATAGTTCCCAATTGATGCTAGGAGCCCTCAGAACCTGAGATCACTTTGCAGAGGTAGGGTTTACATCAGCCACTTAAATATTAGGCATGAGCAATAGATGAAGGAAAAAAGACTTGCGATGTTAGAGGATGTGTCTTACCATGTTGACCTTTTGAAAAGGTAGCAGAACACCCCTTTCCTTTTCCCCTGTTTCATTGCTTATTTTCTGGTTCCCTCAGTATTGTCATTTTAAACACCCACAGCTTCACATGGCATTGCCTTTTACGCATGGACCGCCTCATTTCGTAGATCATCTGCTGAGAATCAGTCTTAGTGGGCCTTACAAATTAGCTAGTGTGTTAAACCTCTTTTAATGTGCAAATGCTTGTCCCCAACCCAGGTGCAAAGTACATTATAGCAAAAGTCTTTAGACAGTAATGACCCTGCCTCTGTTTCCTGACATAGTACTGTCATACAGTGTGAGAAATTCATGCCAGGCAATAGAGAAGTTTGAAGAAGCCGAAAGCTTATTGGAGGATAACTTTTAGGTAACTGGAGTTTTTCAGTGCCCGCTTATACATAGGGCATATACATCTTTCTCTGATTTTATAATTTCTTGCCCCTACTGATTTCCTGTCTGATACAGAAGGACCCAACCCCTGCCATTTGCATTAATTTTTCTTTCAGCAAAATATATTGATAATTATATGAGTAATAAGTACTGAGGATACAGAAATCACTAAGACATGTACAGTTCCTGTTATATGCAGGGTCCTTCAAAGAGATAAGTATGAGATATAAAGTTACAATAGTCCTTAATTCAATGTATTTAGAACTAGAAGGGAACTAAGTCATAGACAAAAATAACCAACACAGACAGAGTATTATCATTGTCATTAGGGAGGCCTAAATAAGATTCTGCATGGATTCTGAGAAGGAAGAGGTGGCTTCCAGCCAAGAGGATTAGGTGAGGCTTCTCGGAAGAGGGTGACACTAGAGTGGGCTCTTGAAAGAATGTTGAATTTGAACATGTGTTTGTGGGGATGGGGAAGAATATTCCAGACTGTGGAAACATCATGACAGCATCAGCAAGACAGAGGAATATGGAGTGTGACTATGTAAAATGGAAAGATCAGTACTGTTATCATGTAGGGCATATTGGAGAATAAAGGGGAACATGACTAAAAAGATAGGCTTGGACAGATTTGGAAGACCTGAAAAGTAAGCTAAGACATTTGGCATAAATCAGATTTCTAGTTAGGATAATAATTCTGGAAGACATGGTGTGGAGGGTGACTATAGACAGAAACTAGTTAGAAATTTTTCTTTTTAATGAGGAAAAAGCAGGTGAAGGATGTGTACTGGGCAAGAATCTGGCCACTGAATTGTACTGTGCTCATACACAATAAACATGAAATGGTATAGTTCTAATGTGGGAATGAATTCTAGTGTCCAATAAGCAATGTATTTTAACAAGTTTCTACTCTGTCCTGCCTCTTTTTGGACACATACAATGTCAACAGTAGAGGAGACCTGGATTCTATTTCTGCTTTATTTTTAGGTTACTTTGTAGCTTTGATTAAGTCATATAACTCTTCTGAGCCTTAGTTTCTCTTTTTTCCAAGTGAAAATGATGATAATATTTAATTAAATGGTATTTTATAGGACTTGGTGAAAAACAAATAAAATCATATACATAAATTATTTTTATAAAAGGTAATTGCCTAATACATTAAAACTTTCAAAAATAGCCTAAGCATCTGAGAACACCAGTTTTCATTCTTCATCTCCACACTGACTTGGTGATTACCTAGATTTAGATTCAAATCTAATTAAAATGTATTGGCTACTACCAATGTTAGCAACAGTGGTTAACAGTTGTAAATGTGGCACTGGTTCCTCAAGAAAGAGCTTTTAAATGACCCTTGGAAGGGCTGGTCTCTGACCTCTGATCTGTCACTAGTGACTCTAAGAAATACCAGGAATAAGGTCCATCACAGGGAAAAGAAATTGATAGGAAATTAGGAGGGGTATTAGTATGGTGGTTGTTACAAAATCCTAGGGAAGATAATTATAAATTCTTCCTAGGTTGCTGGTGAAAGTTACAAGTAGGAGGTGATGTTTGAACTGTCTTTGAAGGGTCAGTCTTAGGGGGAGGAGAGCTTTTTAGGCAGAGGAATAGCATGGCAAACTCCTAGATGCTGAAAAGTTCAGGTGTAGCAAGAAGTGAATATAACGCAAGACTGTAAAAGGAATTTTGAGCTTCAGAACAGTACTTTAGGTAGGAACCTCCTATTTTCTACTTTGTTTTTTTCAGGTACTTGGATTTTTGTTGTGTTGGGAAGGAAAAGAACTTTACCTGCACTGGTATCATAAGGTAGGACATCTGAATCTTCATAGGAGACCTTAGATTGAGACTGAATGTGTCTTTTTGGCACTCAGTGTTAAATACATAGTTTCCCTTTCTTTGTCTCCCTTAGAAAGAAGACATCTGCTTACATTGTTTAATTTTTTTTATTGAAGTACAGTTGATTTACAATGTATTAATTTCTAGTGTACAGTAAGTATAGATATTCAGTTGGGTATATATTTTTTCATATTTTTTTCATTATGGGCTAATACAAAGTATTGAATATAGTTCTCTGCTATACAGTAGGACCTTGTTGTTTATCTATTTTGTATATAGTAGTATCTGCAAATATCAAACTCCCAATTTATCCCTCCCCACCCTGTGTCCCCTCTGGAAACCAGAGATTTTTTTGTCTTTGTGTGAGTTGGTTTCTGTTTTGTAAATAAGTTCATTTGTGTCATTTTTTTAGATTCTACATGTAAGTGATATCACATGGTATTTTTCTTTCTCTTTCTGGCTTGCTTAGTATGACAATTTCCAGGTCCATCCATGTTACTGCAAATGGCATTATTTTATTCTTCTTTGTGGTTGAGTAGTATTTCATTGTGTGTATGTGTGTGTATATATGTGTGTTCTCTAGTCATCTGTCAATGGACATTTAGGTTGCTTCCATGTCTTGGCTATTGTAAATAGTGCTGCTATAAACATTGGTGTGCATATATCTTTTTGAATCCAAGTTCCTCCAGACATATACCAGGAGTGAGATTACTGGATCATAGGGTTAAGTCTATTTTCAGTTTTTAAAGGAATCTCCATACTGTTTTCCATAATGGCTGCACCAAACTACATACCCACCAAAGTGTAGGAGGGTTCCCTTTTTTCCACACCCTCTCCAACGTTTATCATTTGTGGACTTTTTAATGGTAGTTGCTACGCCTGATGTGAGGTGGTAACCTCAGTGTAGTTTTGATTTGTATTTCTCTGACAATTAGCAATATTAAGCATTTTTTATGTGTCTGGCCATTTGTATGTCTTCATTGGAGAAATGTTTGTTTAGGTCTTCTGCCCATTTTTTGATTGGGTTGTTTTTTGTTGTTGTTGCTATCGAGTTGTATGAGCTGTTTTTGTATTCTGGATATGAAGCCCTTGTCAGTCACATCATTTGCAAATACTTTCTCCCATTCCAGAGGTTGTCTTTTTGTTTCGTTTATGGTTTCATTTGCTGTGCAAAAGCTCATAAGTTTAATTAGGTTCTATATGTTTACATTTGCTTTTATTTCTATTGCCTTGGTAGACTGCTCTAGGATAACACTGGTAAGATTTATGTCAGAATGTTTTGCCAAATTTTCTTCTAGGTTTATGGCCTTATGTTTAAGTCTGTATGCCATTTTGAGTTTCTTTTTTTGCTTACAGTGTTTTAAATGAAACCATTAAATTTCTAACACATGTAACTGACTTACTGATGAAGCTGAACCCAAACTTTTTTTCTCACCACTTCTTGTTAAGTTCAGGCTGTAACTGTTCTTCTCATCCCCATAAAATCTTTGGCAGGTTCCATTATTTTCCCAGTCCTCTCTAGTCACAAGAATATTCTCATTTCAGTCATTTACAGTATCAATTTATTGTAATAAACTAACTCCAACTTTATGAGATTTTTTTTCCCTGCTCCTGTTTTCACCTGACCAGGCCGTTGTGGAGCTGTGGATTTTTCTATGTACTGAGAACGTTAACTGCAACTTTCTTGATGGAGTCAATGCCAGTCTTCCTATACCTCCTGAAATTTCTCTGTCAGAGTCCTTTAATGATACCAACATGGTATCTCTCAAAGGATCCAAATATGGTCCCCAGAAAGCAGGCATCATTGCCCCAACATCTGAGGACATGCAGCCCATTTTCAACATAGCCTTCTTTGTTTTGTTCTGCTGTGGGCTTGAGCATCTCCAGCCACAGCCTATTGGATTTTACAGATTTTTTTTCAGGAATGGTTTTGACACCATTTCTTATGTTTCCTCCAAACTAGAAACATGTCAAGCTGAGTGGTTCCCTTAAATTTTCTTTTACTCAAATAGGAAGTATGAACTGAAAATATAAATTAAAGAGTTAGAATAGTTGGAAATTGAAGTCATAGGATCATATAGGGAAAGAGGAAATTGAAGAGTGAACATAACAGGCCTTATTGAGATCACCATGGCTTTTATAATTGGGATACCATAAGCAGTTAGTCACTCCTGAGAATCTCTATGGGTTAAATCATTTAGATTACCATTCCAAGCTTGTGCCTCTTATAGAAACCGAGTGCAGCTTGTCTCTGGCAGTTAGTGCTGCTACTTGGCCTCTGCCACAGCAGGATCTCATCATTGCCTTTGAAATCAGAAAGCCAGGTTCAGTGGCAGCATCTCTCATCTTTATTCAAGCATAAAGGATAGACACTACAGTGCTTTTCAAAGATGCTGACATTTCTTCACCAATGGATTTTTTAGTTACTCTGACTGCCCATGAAACATAATATGGAATGAGTTAGCTGATCATAGGTGAGTGGTGGAGCTGGGTATGAGAAGAATTGGCAAATCCTTAGAAGATGACCAACTTGGTTGGGCCTTTAAACCCTTGGCCTTCAAATCTCCCCCGGCAAGAAAGTTTCTTTAGGGCTTGGAGTGTCAATGTACAAAGAATAAAGCTAGAAGGAAGAAGTTAGCATCAGGCCTATAGTGTATTCCCTCTACCTAGACATACTCTGAGAGTACTGTGTGACCTCAGTCAAAACTCTTTATAAACATGCCCATAACCCAACCTCCTGATAAACATACTAAAGGTATGTATTAACCAAAAGATTATAATAGAGAGTTCTTATCTATGAAGATTTCTAGCAGGATATAATCCAGTGTATCTGGGTTGTTTACTATAAATAAACCTGAAATTTATAGATTTGTAGGGTGAGAGAGGTGACTGGCTGGTAATGTATAATTAACAGGATATGTAAGAAAAGGATGCACCATAGTCCAAAAGACTCCTTCTGTGAAGCATTGTTTCCACATACTTTGCTCAAAACACACTTCACATTTTAAGTCCCAGACAGAATGTATCTTAATATGGTAGGAGAAAGACCTTTTTATGAGTAGCTTCATTTGACAGGATCAGATTTCAAGGGAAGATGTTTTATCTATACTTTATAAATGCCTATATCCTTTAAATCATTAGTAAAGTTTGATGTTGAGTAAGATCACAGAATCACATGAGGTTCATGTGAGTTTTTTTTTTAACAATTAAACCTTTTAGTTGTGATGCATTTGGTTTGGTAATAGGTTATTTAAGATTTTTGCATCTGTGTATAGGAGAGATTGGGCTTTGTTTTTGTTTTTGTTTTTTTTCTTGTAATATCCTTGTTGAGTTTGAGTATCAATGTTTTGTTGACTTCAAAAAATAGGTTGTAGGGGGAGGATATAGCTCAAGTGGTAGAGCACATGCTTGGCATGTGTAGGGTCCTGAGTTCAATCCCTAGTACCTCCTCTAAAAATAAAATAAACCTAATTATCTCGCCCCGAACAAAAAAAAAAATTAAAAACAATAACAAAACAAAAAATGGGATAGAACTTGTTCACTTTTTTTCTATTCTCTGGAAGAATTTGTTAAAGATCAGAAATATTTGTTCCTTTAATGTTTGTTTAAATTAACCATTGAAGTCAGCAAGGCCTGGAGTTATTCTGTAAGGTTTAATTTTGGATTCAGTTGCTTTAACAGGTAACAGAATTATGGAAGTGAAACAAGTTAAAGTTTCAATGTCCTTTCCCTATGAATAATATATAGATTTGTGGCCAGATTATTTTTTCATCTGTTCAACAAATATTTATTGAAAGTTTACTAATGTAACATTCTACAAGGCAGTGAGAATATAGTCATAACCACATATTGTCCTTGACCACAAGAAGCTTATAGTCTATTGCATAAAACATACATTGAAAATGCAATTATAAAGTATTATTTACCTGTAATTATATTGAGTTGTATTTAAAAAAAAGTAGTGAATATTTTTAATGGCTGTTGTTGAAACTGAATGAAACATACCAGACAATGTTAAGAGCCTAGCTGACATGGAGATGATAAATTTAGTAAAGGCATCAGGCTACATAGCTGTATAGTTTTTTTTCCAGGCATTCTGCACAACAAAAATTTGGCACCAAAGAAGGTAAATGATTAGATCTGTGTAATATTGGGGGTTTGAAGGATAGTTAGATTAAAAGGATGAGGAAATGAGGTCCCTGAAACTGTGAGGGCAAATACATTTCCTAAGGACAGTTTTTGTCCAAGCCTACTTCCTAGAAGTCTTTTTGTTTCCCCAGATCCTGATTCTGATAGTGATTTCGATGTGCTTGTTTTTTTTCTGGCTGTTATGCACTTACTGGAAAGACAGGTGGCTCACCATTGGGCTCTCACTGCAGGTAAGC